ACATTTGTGACTCTGGGTGGCTTACAGTTAAAACATAAACAGTACCAATCATCATCATCGTCAAAAAATAAAACAGCCATGCAAACAATACAAACATTAAAAACGATTAAATAATTAAAGGCATACAGTACAATGATCAGGACAGCACAGCCATTCAAGAACAGTATAGCTGTTTTATGGGCTCCACACCACTCTCTGATCCCCAGGCCAGATGGCAAAACTAGGTCTTCAGGCCCTTCTGGAAGGCCACCAAGTGTTAGGGTTAGGGTTAGGGTTAGGTAGTGTTTATACATAACACTAGACCACACTATGTTTTATAAACTAGAACAATTGGCCTTATAAATGTGTTAAGCAAAAAATAAATGACTTTGGCTGGCTATCCACATTATGTTTAATCATAAAGTAGTTTGTTTAGTTATGGCTTAGTGTATGGTGTTAACTCAGCTAACATTGGTCTAAACAACAAGGGAATGTATTCATGAACAAGTTTACATTAAACTTTTGGAGGGATGGGGAGAGCAGCAGTGGACAGGCAAAGATGGAATGTGGGTGAGATATAGATAGATGACAGACAGACAGACAGGCCCAAAGTGATTGTTTCCTTGATTGTTTTCCTTTGCTTTCTTAGGGCTACAAAAATCCAGATGCCTACTACATGTCAGCAAAGAACTGAGTTTTTCTTGATCTCTCTTTGCTATCTAGTGCTTGTCTGGATTTTTGCAGCTTAAATAGGGTTGCCCTTCACCTTCTAAGAGTTGTGTGGAAACTATTTTAGAATTTATGCTACAGTTTTCTACCTTAATGCGTCTGGTAGCCTTACAGACACTTTCAGTAATCTCACTTCATGGATCACAAAACAGAGGCTGAAACTGCTTGTGAGTGTAGAATAGCAATCTGCTCACCCCTAGGCTAGATGGATTCATTGGAGTACCTTCATCCATATACTGTATTTAAATAAGCTTGATGTTCCTTTCACCATAGTGGCAAGTTATATAGAGCTAACATAGAGCCAGTGTGGTCTAGTGGTTAAGGCACCAGGCTAGAAACCAGGAGATGGTGAGTTCTAGTCCCACCTTAGGCATGAAAGCCGGCTGGGTGACTTTGGGCCAGCCACTCTCTCAGCCCGACTCACTTCACAGGGTTGTTGTTGTGGGGAAAATAGGAGGAGGAAGGAGTATTAGGTATGCTCACTGTCTTGGGTTATTTATAAAAAATAATAAAGGTGGGATAATTTTTTTGAAAAAAAATAAAACTTCATAGAAGACCACTGGCCACCTAAGTTCAGGGCTATCTGCTGATAGCTCTCCACAATCTGAAGTACAGCTGGTTTCTCCAGAAAGTCCTTGAGTTTGGGAGGAGATGGCCAGATTAACAAGGAATCCTGTTATGTCTCCTAGCTTGAGGCAACTGCAGATGAGAGAAATGGTGGCTTCTAAAGTCTTGACCAATCTTTAGAATAAGCCACCAAATCCTGCTTCCTAAAGGCAGATCTTCACACTAAATGCAATTTCAAGTTAGTAGAACACATGATTGGCATAAGGCAGCATTGAACCACCTCCAGCTTCTTTGGTGAAAGTGGCAGATCTCTCCCTGCCTAGGACTCTGGAAAGGATCTGCCATTAGCAGACAACCTTGAGAGGCATAGATGTATAGTCTGTGCTACATGAAACTTCTAAAGTAATCTGGATCAACACATCAAACATCCATCAGGCAAAGCAGAATGAAGGTGCCCCAGAAATCTTCCATGTGATTTGAAATTCCAAGTGTAGCTTTTGCAACACCCGCTCTCTTCCCATTGATCAAAGTCACAGACTTTTTCTCCCTTTTAGCTGTTTTTCTCTGGGTGCATTCACACAGCACAATTAATTTGGTTACTGAATGAATCAATTTTCTGGATTTGCACAGTACACTGAACCATAAATTAACCAAAGAGGCTGGGTTTCATTTGGGGCTTTCCATAAATACCACCCAGGGCTAGGCATGGGCTTTCTGTAACTGGGGCAGCATAGGAAAAGAACCCCAATCCCCCCCCCCCCTTTTATTAAGAGGAAAAGTGGCAGTGAACTGAACAGAAGGAGCTGAGACTGGGTCAGGGTGAGTTATCATCTGACTGTTATTAAGCCAACAGGCTGTCAGATTTGAGTGTGGGCTGAAATTAAAAGAAGGCTAGGATTAAAGAAAAGTAGCCAAGTGGGTATGGAATGAACCCAGAGGAAAGGTGCGAGAGATAGATGTGACAGCTCTTTGTAAAATGTTGCCAGATGGGGGCAGTTCATTGACAACCTGATCAACATTAACCCCTTGTGCCATACCCCATTCTTATAAGAATTTAGTCTTATGGACTAAAAAGTCCATCTGATCCTGCATTTTCTTTTTCCAACAATAACGGGGGGGGGGGGGG